TCTGGCGTTCTTGAGCACAATATTCCGATATAACGGCCGCCAGTCGGCTCATTCCGTTGACGCCGATGACACAGTGACGTACCAATGACACATTCAGTGACAATGACACATGACACAATGACAAAAACGTATTAAGGAGCATATTGTTTAAATATAACAATTGCGTTGTGTACAGTAGTCTTTATACTTAAAAGTATACCAACAGTCATAAGTGAGTTTGTTCCATCATATCTGATATTTGCTTCAATATCTTGAAATGCAGAGCATTTCCTTTAAATTGTGTGACCTTCAAACAGTAAATTCTGATCACAAAGGTTCAAGTTGGATCTAGCTCAGCTTCGGATGACCTGACCTTGTAATCGCCACGAAAAATCGCGTTGTATTTCAGAGTGATAGAGATAAAGATATAAATGTAGGAACCCACTTAGGAGTGCATGCTCCTTGAGAAATAAGGTTTGCATCTCGGTTTTGAGTTAACTATCACAAAGCATTTTTGTTTTTACAGGGGGTTAAAAATAAGTTAAACTCTGGTATTCGGAGTGCTGGCAATAAATCCTGTTCAGCATCAGAAGAAAAATCTGTCCGAACAAAAGTTTTCGGGTCTGCATTGTTTCTCATTTTGAAGCTGAACTGGACCTATAATTGAAATTAACGATGCCAAGCCAGAAGAATATGGTACCCAATTCTTTTGTTTTGTGAGACCTTGCAACACAGCAATTCGGGACTCAACTTTAAGTGAAACAATATTAGGCTCGCGGTCCACCATTGGTAGAGGGCCAAATGTCACATGGCATAAAAGCGTTTCCACAAAACTGGTGAATCAACGGCGTTGATGCCATGTTTGGGTTGTGAGTAGAAAAAGTTTCTCGGCTTATGTTTGACGGTGAAAACAAAAAGGTTGTCGATTTTAAAATGGTTTACCCGTTAATCTAAAGTTGCCCCTCATACGATGACGTCATTTTCAGACTGCGGAGTCGAGCCACCCCGCCGTACTTTGCGTGGCAGCTCCACTACGAATGAGGATAAGAATGATGGTCTTTGTGTGATGCGGACTTTTTCTTACTGTTTCGTACTACTCCAGTTAAAAAATATGAGGGAGGAGCGAGCCATCATTGTGCAGGGGGGAGGGGCAATTCAACATCGGGGGTGGATGGGGCAGGAGCCTCACAGAGGAACGCAAATCGACACCCGTGACGCGGGAGCCCAAAATTTCAGCGCCGTGCTCACAACTGTTGGTGCATTGTTTTGGAAATCCTTTGTTGAGCGCATGTGTCCCGTGGAAGGGTGAGGGCTCAAACAGCCGGTAAATGTCGCAGACCAGCCGGGCCCCGTCATGGACCGTGCGGCGGAGCTGGAGCAGGAGCTGGACGACATGGAGTCGCTGGAGGCCGGGCAGCAGGTGATCCTGCAGCTGCCGGACCAGGCGCGCGACGGCGCCGACTCCGTCATCATGGAGGTCGTCCGTGTCGACGGCAACCAGATCCACTTCATCGCGCCAGGTGCGGAGCGCTAGGGCTGGGGGACGGCGCCGGTCACGAGGTGTCGCCAGGTGCGGAGCGCTAGGGCTGGGGGACGGCGCCGGTCACAAGGTGTCGCCAGGTGCGGAGCGCTAGGGCTGGGGGACGGCGCCGGTCACGAGGTGTCGCCAGGTGCGGAGCACAGAGGCTGGGGGACGGCGCCGGTCACGAGGTGTCGCCAGGTGCGGAGCACAGAGGCTGGGGGATGGCGCCTGTCACGAGGTGTCGCCAGGTGCGGAGCGCTGGGGCTGTGGACGGCGCCGGTCACAAGGTGTCATCAGGCTCGGCGTGGGCATGTCTATTGTCGGCGGCTCACCCCGTACGTTGAATGGGACCCGTCCGATGTGTCGGCAGGGGTGAAGACCGTTGGTCGGCCAGCATTCTGTTTGGGGGCTCTAGCTGCTCGTGAGGTTTTTAAGACTTTAACGTAGGGATTTCGGCGTTGTGTGGAATGCGTTAGCCTAAAATCCCGCTGTTCTCCTCAGTGACGTCAAACTTTTCCCCTGTGCGGGCCATCACCATATTACCACCAGTTTAAAAGCTAAAAGAATGCTGCTGGTAGGAGCTCTTTATCACGGGGTGATATTTTCTCCCATGATGATATGGGCTCATTCGTGTCTTTTTCGTGGCTATTTTATGAACATTTCATAAAATAATATTGTATTATCATCTGATCTATTTCATGGTTTCGCGCTTGAAGGCTGAGTCATGATAAACCTTCCGGCGACCTGAATGTGCGTAATCTGCTGTCTTCATGACAGCGTCAACTCCCTGCCCTCTGCGTGGTCAAACAATGGACCACAGCCATCAATGACCACGTTGCTCGGTCTTCACTATGAAGCAAGGCATGCGGTCCGCCTCGCCCGTCCGAGTCGTGTTCAGTGTGGCTCGATTTAACCTGCCGCCCGCACGGGCACGGTCAGACAGCACCGATCCGGATCCGGATCCGGATCCGGAGCCGGAGCCGGTGGCGGTGGAGGGGGCCGATCTGAAGCCGGTCCCGCCCGAACTGAACCTGCCCGGATCGGCGGCCGGCGCGGCCTCCAACGACGACGACGACATGGAAGAGGTGAGGGGCCCTCGCGCGCGCTCTGCGGCTCTGTCGGCTGCTTGAGGCCGCGTACTGCCGTCGAACGGCGCGGCCAGCTCGGTGGAGGCGGCCCTGCGTGCGGGTTGGCCGCGGAGGAGCGCGACAGGGAGAGATGGCGGGATGATCGAGGCTCGCACGCACACCGTAGTGGGTTTTTTTGCGAGACGACTGCTGCTGCAAAACTGCTGCCGACAGGCCTCTTCGACACCGATTGTACACGACAGCAGCCACAGTTAAGGTTTCTACTGACAGTCCTCACGCAGGACAATAAATGTACACCGTGAGAGTTTACTGGTACAGATGATGTAGCATGACGATGATTTTGCCTGTGGCAATACTAACGTTTAGCAGCGATGATGCTTGGTCATGATGCGTTGTCCACTGCAGCCGTTTGCTGAAGGAATTTTGTTTGTATGACTCCCGTCGGGCAAAACTGTAGTTGCAGATGTTTTAGCCGTGGTGGTAGTTTCTCTGCAGAGCTATGTCGGGAGTAGTTATGACGTGGTGCGGGTGTCGAGTAGAAGTTCTGCAAGTAAGATCTAGCACTCAGTAGTTCTCTCATAACAGGGTGAGAGCGTTTGATAGAGTTGTAAGCCGAATGGGACACTGTATGCGAATTTTACGTCTTCTTTGCAAGTCATCCCCTATCTATTTCACTGATATTTGAACTGGTATCAGCGCTTTCCTCGCACCAGTGCATGGATATTCCTCAACACAGGACACAACGTAAAGCGGTGTTACCTCGTCACCAAAAGCATCGATGTTTGGCGCTTGTGTCGCAAGCACCAAACCTCACGCAGTGGGGCCGAGAAGGCGACCACCACCGCCATCACACGGACACACCACTGGAGCGGGGCCCCAATCACACGCGTGCCCTGCGCCCCGCCCCGTCCCGCCGCCCCGGCGACACCGACGCCCCCCTGCGGCCGACAGGTGGAGGTGGAGCGGTGCTTCCTGTGCCGGCGGCCGGCCACCCAGTCGCTGACCTGTCTGATCCTGGGCCGCACCGGCGGCACGACTTGCTCGCTGGCCGAGCGGCTCAGCGGCTGCGTGGCGCCGCGCAAGCTGGACGTCAGCACGGCTGACGGCGTGTGCCGCCCGTGCGTCGCCCTCATCGACACGGCCGACCAGCACTACCACCAGTACCAGGCGAGTGCGCCGACACCACGCGGCGCTGCTGATCGGGCCGCGCGAGTGCCAGCCCTGGCCGGCGTCAGCTGATGTCTGGCGTTACGTGACTGATCTGGCGAGGTGTCTGACGTCACAGAGATAATCTCTCGAGGTATCTGATGTACAGAGATGATCTGTCGAGGCGTCTGACGTCTCGGGCTGGTTACTCGGCAGCTGGCCAGCCAGGGGATTGTCCAGCTGCTGCAGGACAGGGAGGAGCACCAGCAAGGCCGGGCGCGACACTCGGACGGCGACGAGTCGGAGGAGGCGGGACCTGCAGAGCCGCCTGGTGAGAGGCCCAGACACATGCAGACACTTGGTGAGAGGGAACCCTAGCCCCATGGTGTCGCCTGGTGAGAGGCCCAGTCTGACAGAGACACTTGGTGAGAGCCCCAGCCCCAAAGTGTTGCCTGGTGAGAGGTTCGGCCTCACAGACACTCGATAAGATCCCCAGCTCAATATTGTCGCCTGGTGAGATGACTAGCCTTAGTGTCAGGAGGCCGGCCCAAGAAAGGCTCTGGTGGCGGCTCAGTAGACCTGTCTTGAGCAGCTGCCTGCGCACAATGCTCACAACTGGAGCCTGCCATGGGGAGTCACCTTTGTATCGTCCGGCAGCATCGCGGCCGTCCAGCGGTCTGGAGGAGCTGGACTCGGACGACACGGACTGGACGCCCCAGGGCGGGCCGACGCCGCGCTCCTCCCGCGAGCGCGCGCCCAAGCCGCGCCGGCCCTGGTCGCCGGAGGTGGCCGGCCGGCCGGCGGCGGCGCCCCGCACTGGCCCGGCGCCGGGCGCGCCGCCCCGCGGGCGCGGTCGGCCCCGCAAGCACCCGCTGCCCGCCACACCCACGGTACGCCCGGCCGGGGCGAGGCGCAGGTGGCAGCCTCGCCGCCACCTGCGCAGTGGCAGTGTGCAGTGGCACATGCGCCACCTGTCCCGCAGGGGGAGTATTTTGAAGTCACCTCGGCATTCATGGTGTCATAATAACGTCATTTAAGTCTTGTCATTTCATAAGTCATGCGGCGATCAAGGCCAAGAAAAACAGAATTGTCGACGCGTTCATATCTGGCGATTGTGAACGCGCTTTCCAGATATAATTGTTGTCAATTGGCTCTCAATCAGTTTTGTGCAAGGTACGGTGGCGTAATGAAACCGTGACGCATTGAGGAGAATATTTGCTGAACAGATAATTTCACTGTCTATAGCAGTCTTTCACTTGAAAAGCATGCCATTGGTTATAAGTGAGCTTGTTTCAATGCTTGATTCAATCTCTTCAAATGTAAAGCATTCCCTTTAACGGTGACAACGGCGCCGGTGAGGCCGCGGGAGGGGATGCGCTGAGAGGGAGGCTCTCCGATTAGTACGAGGAGGTGGGGCTTGGCTAGGGAGCGGGACGTTACGGGTGTGCTGAGTTCTGCCTTCAGTGTCACCAGGCGGTGCCTTCGGATCGCCTTTGCTTCAAAACTGCCCGGTTTTGTTGTATGCTTGAAGAAAACACCGATCTCCCTCCGGCAATGGTGTCACCGATATATTAGTGATGCACAAATCTAGTAATAATAACATGTAATACTATGCATGACAAAACACTTGGCCATGTGTTAGTGATACCGATTAAACACCTGTCAACTTTTACGTGTCACCCAAATCGGATAATATCGACGGCGTTGCAGGTGATAGAGTACAACGACATCGGAACACTTAAAGAGCAAGTGAAAGACATCAAGACGCCGAAGTTCAGCATCAAGGCCAAGCGGCCCCTAAAGGTGAAGCCACACAAGACTCAGTGAGCGTGCGGTCATCGGTAGAGCGAGCTGACCCGCCCGGCTCTCGGCGGCCTGGCCAGCGCGCTGGGCCGAGCCGGGCAGGGGCGGCGCGTGACACCTGTCACCGTGACCCGCCACCGTGGCCCGTCACCGTGACCCGTCACCGTGACCCGTCACCGTGACCTGTCACCGTGGCTTGTCACCGTGACCTTTTACCGTGACCTGTCACCGTAGCCTGTCACCGTAGCCTGTCATCGTGACCTATCACCGTGACCTGTCACCGTGGCCTGTCACCATGGCCCATCACCGTGACCTGCCACCGTGACCTGTCAACGTGACCTTTCACCGTGACCTGTCGTCGTGACCTGCCAAGTGACCTTTCACCGTGACCTGTCAACGTGACCTTTCACCGTGACCTGTCACCCCCCCCCCCCCTGGCTGTGACGTTCCACCGTGGCGTGCGCAGGCGGACCTGGAGAGGATCATCCACCTGGAGGTGCGCGCCGCCGACGGCTCCGGGCCGGGCCCGCTGGCGGCGGCGGCGGCGCGCCGCGGCCGCCCGCCCGCGGCCCGCGCCGGCAGTAGCTACGAGTGCCGCCGCTGCGACATACAGTTCCAGGACTCCCGGTGAGTTTGCTGTGGTGTTTCGCGTCCCGGCATCCCGGCGAGGACCCTGTGACATGTCCTGTCGGGAATCCTGCCAAATCCGGGGTGACGCACCGTCCCAGGATTGCTGTCAAACTTACTGTAACACGCCGTCCTAAGGCTTCCTTTATGTCTACCAGCACACTGTTGTACTGGAATGGACTGGATTTGATTGGACTGTGTTTTGCTTTGCTTTGCTTTGCTGTGCTGTGCTGTGCTGTGCTGTGCTGTACTGTGCTGTGCTGTGCTGTGCTGTGCTGTGCTGTGCTGTGCTGTATTGTATTATCGGTCGCTGCAGTGTACTGAACTGTATTGAACTGCACTGTACTGCGCTTCACTGTATTACGTTGCACTGCCCCGCGCTGTACGTTACTGTGCTGTACTTTCCCACAGTACTGCTCCGGCCAAAACGTGCTGTGATATATTCGGCTGTGCTGTACTCGACTGCACTGCACGAATCGTCTGCGCTGTGCCGTACTGTATCATGTTGTACGGTTCCGCATGTGGCCTGACACCGTCCGCCCGGCCGCAGGGAGATGGTGAAGCACCTGCAGCAGCACGTCAGCAAGCCCTGGTGCAAGCGCTGTCGCACCGAGTTCCCCGACCGGGCGGCGCTGCTGGAACATCGGCGTGCCTGCCGCCTGCAGCATCGCTCCGGTCCGTACCGCCGCCGCTGACCCGGCGCAGTGCGTCACTGCGTCGCCCTTATGGCCGGGAGGTCGTGGGTTCGAGACCGGCCGCCGGCCAGACTTTTTGGGCTTGATTTGTGTGGAACTCGGCCACTTTTGCACCTCGTGTCCCTTCAGGTTTTTTCTTGTGTGGAGGCGCTGACGATGGGCCTGGTTGAGTCTGGCGTCCGGTACGGGTCTCTGAGTCGGATTCTCTATCGTGATGGCGTCAGTGATAGCCTCACCAGCTCAGGAATGGTCAGAGCATGATCCACGGTCTTCTGTTGCTCATGTTGGGGATTCGGGATGTGCCCCATTGGTGAAATGCGTGCTTGGGTTGTCTGCCTCCCCTGTTGACGCGTGTGGCGTGTTGGAAGAGTGGTCGATTAGTGCAACCTCTACGGCATGCTACAATCGTTTATTCTTTGTTGTTTATTGTGTATTTAGGACATAAGCATTCTACAGGCAAAACCCAATTACGGAAGCAGTCCAGTTTTAATACAATCACCTGGATTACGTTGCCGGTGCAGTGACAAGGCGTGATCGGGTGCGGTGCACGTCGCCATAGCATATAGACATCCTCTGCTCATTGAGACTCGGCTAGGACGACGCCCCTTGATGCAGTCTGGTGCAGCACGCATCACCGCAGCGTGGCGCGGTGCAGTGCGGTGCAGTGACGGCGGCCGTGCCGGCAGGCGTGTGTACCATCTGCGACCGCGAGGTGCAGTTCCACCGGCACCACATGAAGCGGCACAGCGAGATGGTGGCTGAGGGACTGCTGGAAGAGGTTAGCTGGCTGCTGCGTCTGGATCGGGCTGGATATGCCCCGATCGGGCTAGATTGGTCCGGGCTGGTCTGTATCGGTCCGGTTCGATTCAGATCGGTTTGCTCCCGTAGCCGTGCGGGGGCGGGGGGGGGGGGAGGGGGAGGGGGGCAGGGTGCGTGGTGGTCCTCAGGCGGGGCGCCGCTCGCGGCTCGATGTCTCTCCGGTGGCTGGGGTGTCTGGCTAGCCCAGGGCTGCTGGAGCTGACTACGTGCATATCCTGTGGACAAAACGTCTGTTGCTCAACCCACGCCGTGGAAAGAACTTCCGGACACGCGCCCTTTTCTCATATTCTTTGCCTCCTGTATATGTGCTGTGTTGGTGGTGAGGGGGAGCGGAGGGGTGGCGCCACGCCAGTGGGCCAAGCTGTCACCGCCGGCGCCGCCTTCGTCACGCCTCACCGGCAGCTGCACGCGCGCCGGCCGTCAGAGAGACCCGTGCCGCGCCGCTCTGACCGTGTGGGTCGGCAGGGAGCGCCCATGCCGGAGGAGCAGGACACGCTGCCGGCGGGCGCGCTGCAGCGGCGCGTCGGCAAGTACCTGGCCGGCGGCGTGTGCAGCATCTGCGGCGAGCACGTGCCAGAAAAGCTGCGCAAGCACGAGCGGCTGCACAACATCACGCACACGTGCCCCATCTGCAAGAAGGTGTTCACGCGCGAGGACGTGGTGCGGGGACACATCAAGGTGAGGGCCGGCTCCAGGGAGGCTCGGGAAGGGTCAGGGGAGATTGAGGGGCGGCTCCAGGAAGGATCGTGGGCGGCTCTAGAGGGGCGGGCGGTTCCAGAGAGGGTCAGGGGTGACTCCAGGAAGGGTCACAGGTGACTCCAGGGAGAGTTGGGTGACTCCAGACAGGGTCGCGGGCGACTCCAGTGTGGGTCAGGGTGACTCCAGGGAGGGTCATGGGTTACTCCAGGGAGGGTTAGTATCGACTCGAGGGAAGGTCAGGGTTGACTCCAGTGTGGGTCAGGAGTGACTCCGGGTGACTCCAGGGAGGGCCAGGGGCGGCTCCAGGACCACTCGGGGAAGGTCAGGGGAAATTGAGTGGCGGCTCCAGGGAGACTCGGGGCAGGTGTGTTGAGATGTTTATGTTCAAACATACGTAGCGTATGTCGCTCACATGAACGACCAGGGTGTACCTTATCAAACGCTTGCCTTCGTGTTTGTCCCTTGTGTGTCGCGCCTTGTGCCCCTTCCCTGCCCCCCCCCCCCTTGGCAGCTGTCTGGTAATCGCTGTCCCGATCCAGCGCCACGCAGACGTCCGTCCGGGTGTTCGTCGTCACACTGCATTCCACGTGTGTTCTCAGTCGCGCCCGGCGCCGTTTGGTTTGTAGTGCGTCTCCCCGTCTGACCAGAGGCGCTCGCCGCGCTGGGCGCCGCCCCAATGGAGTCTCGCTGGGCGCCGCTCCGCTGGAGCCCGCCACGCTGGGCATCGCTCCAGTGGAGCCAGCCGCGCTGGACGCCGTCCCGCTGGAGCCCGCCGCGCTGGGCGCCGCCCCACTGGAGTCTCGCTGGGCGCCGCTCCGCTGGAGCCCGCCTCGCCACCGTGCGGTTCTGACGCCCCTCATGCCGTCCGTTGCAGCGCGTGCACATGAAGGAGCGGCCTCACGTCTGCGCCCAGTGCGGCAAGACGTTTGTCTCCGTCTACAGCCTGCAGCGACACGAGATGATCCACAACAACGAGTACCGTTTCTACTGCCAGGAGTGCGGCGACGGCTTCCGCCAGAAACAGCAGCTGACGGCGCACATGCGCCACAAACACGGCGTCGTCGACGTCGTGTTCGAGGACGTCCAGGTAACGGCACGCGCCGAACACGTGGGGCGCCGGCAGAGACCGAGGCTCCCGGTCTTCTGGCGCGAGGTGGAGGCCGGGTCGCTGCTGAAATGTTGCGCTGGTGCCGCCAAAGCATCCGGATTTGAGACGGGGACGACCCACGGTCACGACAGTGCGCGCGCGGATGAATAATGTGATGACGTGTGAGATGCGTCGCACCGTCAGCCAATGGCTGGTCACCGCGCCCCTGGGCCCACATATTCCGACTGTCAGCTAATGGCTGCTCACCGCGCGCGTAGGCCCACATATTCCGACTGTCAGCTAATGGCTGTTCACCGCACTCGTAGGCCCACATATCCCGACGGGCGAGCAATGTCGCTCATGATGGGCGATACCCTGGAGGTGCTCTGTCACCGAGCCGTGTGACTCCGCCTGCCGTGAGCCGGTGGCCTCTGACCTTGATCTCTGAGCCCCTGACGTGATCACTGGATGTTATGTGTGACCTTGATCCCCACCGGCCGCTGAACGTGACCACTGGTGGCCTTGACCGTGACCCCCATTAGGCCTCTGATTGACCCCTCACCCGGAAGTATGTCAGCGCCCCCCCCCCTCCCCCCCCATTGCGACCCTTGACCGTGGCCTGTGACGACGACGTCAGGCCTCGGCCCCTGGGCGTGACCCGTGACCGCGTGACCGCAGGTGATGCCGGAGGGCTCGGCCGTGGTCGACGCCATGGCCGTGATGACCGACGGCGGCGTGTCGGTGTACCGCGGCGCCGTGCTCGAGCACGACCAGTACGACAAGGAGGAGTACGTCATAGCCACCAGCAGCGCCGACGGCGACGACGACGGCGTGCGCTTCAGCGGCGTTTCCGACGCGGAGGACCACATCTACCGCACAGCGCTGCCCCACGCGGCTGGTGACGGCGTGCATCTGGAGCACCAGTAACCGGCGTCGGAGGCTGGACCGGCCTCGAGAGCGGCTGTGGTGAGCCGGGGAGCGGACCGACCCGCAGGATCAGGTGGCGACGTCAGAGGCTGGACCGTCCCTGAGAGCGGCGGCTGTGGTGCGTCGGAGAGCGGACCGACCCGCAGGATCAGGTGGTGACGTCAGAGGCGGGACCGGAGTGGGGGAGCGAGGAGCATGGTCAGGTACGGGTGTGGTTCCAGTGGCGCGGCGCGGTGCAGCTCGGCGCGGCGTCAGTAACGGGGCTGGACGGAAGCTGCGGAGGATGGCGACGGACGCTGGACTCGAGCTGGGAAAGCACCAGCCCTGCGCGGCCGGAACACTGCGGTGAAGGCGCGCTCCAACCGACGTCACTTGTGTGTATCTGTCTGAAGTGTCTGGTCGGCGGCGCCCTCTGGAAGCGAACGGCTGCCCGGTCTCGGCGGCTGCCCGGTCGTCTCAGCGGTGCTGGACGGCGCTCCTGGTACCAAACAGCTGCGGGTGGGCGATGCGCGGTCGTTTTTCATCGGTGATTGAGTGCTGACTTCATCGAGGAGGCCAGCTCTGGACGTGGGAGAATTGTAGGCTCACGTGTGATGTTCTTCCCACGCATTGAGCAAACGGGCGTGCGATGGGGTGTGAAAGTTGGCGACGCGACTTCCGACAACTATTTGGCTGTCTTCTTGACGACATGCAAAGTTTTGAATCTTTTCGTCCATTTTCTCCTTCGCTCACGTTGTTTGGTTTGAACTTGCCTGCATGTACTCGTTATGCCAGTGTGCTGGGTGGCTTCACATGGATCATGATGCGCACTTGACAAGTATATTCCGTTTCGCTGTACAGTTTGTGTTAACCCTGCGATCTCGCTCGGACTCGAATCCTGCTGGAACATGATTGTTGCCTTCGTGCAGACGCACCGCGATTCTCGCACGTCGTCCTTGTAGCGGGCGCTGGGCGGACGCTCTGAGGTAATCAGCAGATTCGTTCTGCGCTAGAGTCGCCCCGCTGTTCCGCTGGGTGTCGAGCATGACATGCAGGGGCGGATCCAGATGGCGGAGGGGCATGCCTCCGCCCTTGGGGCTCGAAGGGTCTCATAGGCACCGAAGGGGCCCATAGCCGGCTGAACAAACGCAAGCTTTACACAAAAGTCCTGGTGATTTGGTTTTTAAGGGCGTGTCGGCATCGGGGCCATTTTGCTTACACAACAGTCAACAAAACTGAACGTCTTTTGGCTTCCAGGCGACTAAAAACAGTTTCAAGGAAAAGTGCCACGAGTAGACAACATTATTCCTCACTGACTGAGAGGGTGGCAAGTGGGAGGCTTTAAGGTTCATCACGCTGTCCAGAGACCCCACGCTGTTTCCGGGGGCTCTATATATCCGTTTGCAGGGTCAATCCGACCATTACGGAGCCTTCTACTCGCCCCTGATTGCTTTGCACTTTCTCTGAGAGTCCCGCGCTGCTGCCAGAGCCCTTCGTTTTAGCGTGCCGGGGCACTCTCGTCGATCAGCGGCCTTCCACTGGTTCCTTCCATTGGCCGAAAAGGCCCCACACGCTTTAGCCGGGGGCCCCACATGTTAACCTGCCGGGATATTCTCGGTTGTTCAGGGACCCTTCATGTTGGTCTCGGTTGGCCCACCGACACTCGCGACAGGCCCATGGGGCCTCTACAATGGTTACGGCCCTTCCCATCCCGCCATTTGCTTGGAGCTCTACGCTCTTGTCGGGGGCCGATCTGTTAACCTGCTCGGGCACACTCGATCGCTGAGGGACCTTCTACATTGGGTCTTGGGTACCTCCTATTTGAATGGAGGGCCCTGCGCTCTTATCGGGGTCCCTATCCGTTAGCCTCTTCCGGCCCGCTTGATCGTTTGGGGCCATCTACACTGTGTTGTGAATATTTCTTATTTGAATGGTGTGTCCTATGCTCTCATCGGGGCCCCTATCTGTTAACCTGCTTCGGCTCGGTCGATCGAGATCCTTCCACATTGTGCTGCGAGTATTTCGTATTACAATGGTGGACACTACTCTCTTGTCGAGAGGCCTAGCTCTTAACCTGCTCTGGTCACTCGATCGTTCGGGGGCCCCATATTGTGTAGTGGATTTTCAGTATCTAAATGGAGGGCCCTTCGCTCCTGGCGCCCCAGCTGTCAACCTGCTCGGACGCACTTAACCGTTCCTTGGTTCTTCATATTGTGTGTTGGGTATTCTTATTTGATTGAACAGCCCTATGTTATTGTCGGGACCCCATCTTTAAAACTGCTCGGGCCAATAGCGGATTCGGAGGGGACGGGTGGAAGGCGCGGAACCACGCCTCCACGTGCTCCAAGTAGGACTCTCTGAAGGGGTCCATGTTCTGCCGAACGGACGTAGTTTTCTAACATAAAACAACAAGTTGGACGTCTTTGGGCCCCCCGGACGACAAAGAACAGTCACAAGCGAAAGTAAGAGCCCGTGAGCAGGTAAAGCGTTCGCTGATTGAAAATGTGGTGATTGGGAGGCATTTTGAGGCTTATTACGTTGTCAAGAGGTGCTACGCTGCTGCCAGGGCCCTATATCTCCCCTTGTCGGATCAGTCTGATTGTCCAAGGGACGTTTCACATTCGGAGATACTGAGGCAAGCATCAAATATGATGAAACAAGCTCACTTAATATTGGTATGGTTTTTAGGTGGAAAAGATCGCTTTTGACATGCGCAATTCTTTGTTTAGTTGTGGTATGTGTGGCAAGGTGCGCTCGTCGCCTCGCTGGGCGCGCCTCTGCGCAGCGGCTCGACCTTGAACGACCTTGACCACGTGACCTGGTCAGACGGCACGGAAAACCAGACGGAACGCCAGTCGACTGTAACCGGTGAGTGAGGATGATCACACCGGTGGCCAGCGGTTCGGTGCTGCAATGGAACGGGACCACAGACTGGTGGGGGAGGGAGGAAGACCTTAATGATTTTCTTCGCCGTATGGACGTATATCGCCCGTGTAGGCTAAGAGAAGAAAACAGTGGGCAAGGTACTGCTGGCCCTTGGCCCTCGGGGAAGTGTCATGTACCGACTATCGGAGGAGGATACCAAGGACGTACACAGCTTGAGGGTACCACTTCAATGGGAGTTCTGCAACTCTTCGAAATGGCATCAGGACAATTACGAGAACTGCCGTAGGCATTCTGAGGAAACGTATTGTATGTTCATTGCGAGTTTACGCATGCTGTTTCGTGATGCATGTCCGGGTGCGAATCCTTCCTCTCCAGTATCAGCTACCTTGCCCAGAAGGCGTTTCTTAGAAAGCATCAGCCCCGCGGCAGCACCCCAGATCCACCTCTCGTTCCCGGATATGGCCGTCGACAAACTGCCGGACCGTGCTAAACCTGTCGACAAAGCTATTTCATCGTCGGCACTGCAATCCGCCCCCGTTCAAAACGTCGCAACTGAAGACGGTCAAATCGACGGCGAAATGTGTGTATATTATGCTTGATATGTGCGAAAATATGTGGCATTCTAATCTCATGTTGGCTAGCTCCCCCTCAGCATGACAAAGTAACAGTACAACAGCCTACAAAGTGTTTCACTAGAACGGCTACGCACTATTGAAGATAATATTTCGCATTTAAAGATATTGGGCAAGCATCAGATATGATGAAAAAATTACATTATAACCATTGGTGTGTTTTTAAGTAGAAAGGGCTGCTCTAGACAAAACGATTTCTCCGTTTAGTGAACATGCTCCCGGAGGCGTCATGGTTTGATCACATCATCGCACCTTGTACAGCATTGATTGAGAGGCAATGGGTGGCCGATATATTTGGAAGTTGTGCTCTCGAACGCCAGATATAAACAACCCGACCACCATATTTTTCTTCGCCTTAATCGCCGTATGGCCTACGGAATGGCAGGATTTGAATAACGTTGATATGCCATCGTGAACGTCAAGGTTACATTGAATGGCTCTCCCTGAAAAAGTCTCCCCATTTTCTCTGGCGTGTAGCTCAGAGATTACGCGGGGGGGGGTCGGGTATTAAGAATGATATGACTTTAGTAAACTGCACCGAAAGGTACCGCAGCAGGATGGATCTGCTGAACCATTATTACAAAGTGAGATGGTGGTTTAGAGTACGACCTATACATTTTCAGCACGGAATCCGATTCAAAATCTGTCCTAGCAAATTTTTTGCTTTCGGTTTTGTGTATTGTGTATTCCATTTCATAGCTATGCATGCGTTTGGAGCTTACGATACCGCACCAAAAACAATGTTCTGCTATTTGATTTTTTTCTCATGAGGCCATGCCGCAAGGAATTTTGGCTTTTGAGTCATACAATATTAGGTTTGTAGCTTTCGATGGGTAGCAGACCAACTTGACGTTGGGCATAGTCTCCCCGAGACCGGTTAATCAGCGGCGTCAATATCATGTTTGGGTTGCGTGGAACAAGCGTCTGGAGTTAATTTTGACGGGCAAAAATATGTCATATGTAAAGGAGTTTAACTTTTATTACCTAAAGATACTTATCACATAAGGAAATAATTTTGTGGTTGTGGATATCAAGTCACTCCGCTGCATCTTCCATGGTGACGTCAATGCGCGAAAAGATCAAAATAGATAGTCTTGGTATGATGGTCAACTTTCACCCACGCTTTTGCAGTATTCCAGCCATTAACATTGGGGGGGGGGAGGACAAGCCAGCAGAGGGGGGGGGGAGGCAAGTCACCATTGGAGGGACCAGGGTCCTCTCAAAAGAATACAAATCAACACCGCGTTGGAACCGTTTAAACGAGAAGTGAAAGAGCTTAGTCGCAATTATAAGTATCAGCCACTTGAGCCAGAGCCAATAAATACTTGTTCATAAATCAGCTGCGGTCAAGGTCAGATGAATTACCTCGGTGCGGAATAGGTGGTTGGATCGATTTCCGTGTTGTTTTCGATGGTTCGGTCCTGCCGACAGGACAACCTGATACCTTTCAACCCCACCGCCAGTCACGTGGTCGTCGGTTTGCGTGTGAAACTGATAAACGGGTTCCGTCGCACCGTCACAACGCCGCCGCGGCAGACCTGAGCCCCGCTACCCAGCGCCGCGGGGCCGGGCCCATCTGGGCACGGACGATATGCGCTGTGATACATTTCAAGCCATGCCTCAGTCATTATTGCAGATAATTGCTTGAAACGTGGTGCAGACATCCTTCATAGTCCTATCAAAGGCACCTTATTCATGTTTTCATAATTCGGGTCTGAGACCAAAAGATGTTGGGCGTACCTTTCATCAATATTTGTGCTATAAGACATGCCAATATTTCGATGTGCAAGATGGCAACAACAATAAGACACGGCATATGAACGACGCCAGATTAAGACAAGGCATTAAAAGACCTAAACTTCTTTAGTTTCTGAACATTACGCCCGCGAAGATGCGCATACTATTTCGGATCGACCATTTCAAGGTCACCCAGGCATCTATGATGCCATAACGTCGTTCAAAAGCTGTCATTTCATTGGTTATGTAGCGATAAAGACTTAGAAAGATATAGCTGTCCAGTTGTTTATGTCTGGCGTTGGCGAGTACGACTTCCAGATGTAACAGCATCAATTGGCTACCAGTCAGTGTAGTGCTGGCTATCGATTAATGTTGTGCAAGGTACCATACTCAAACAATGACATACTCTTGAGACATATGAGACAATGACATGATGACATACATACATACCTCTAAAACTCAAACATACTCTTGAGAAGCACATTCACCAAACAAAGAGATTGTGATGTCAAAAACAGCCTTTCCTACTTAAAAGTAAACCACTGCTGATGAGTGAGCTTACTTTATGATATATGATGCCTACTTCAGGATCC